ATCCAAAGCCAGGCTTTCAACTTGGTACTAAGTTTGCAACGTTTTTGGAAGTCTAAAAAGGTATTTCAAAGTAAAAAGTTTTTCAAAAAATCTTGCTTCTCCAGCAATACTAGTTCCTGTGCCCAGAACTTGCACTTGAGACAATAAACATGAGTTGAATAAACAATCAAGATACAATAGGTTAAAAACAGAAAGATAGTAAATCCAAGGTCAGAAGGAGGTGGTGGGCGGGTTCATCTGGGAAGGAGACTGGTTTCTAGGTGGAATCTCAGCAGACTACAGAGATACACCCCCCCTCCCCCCCCCCCACTCTGCTACCTGGGAAGACAATGTGGAAAACAACCTTACAAAAACTGCCACCAGAGGAAAAGCAGTCACAGAAATGCACTGCATATTGTTCCTCCCAGTGCTGCTCAAGTCCACAATCTACACACACATCTACAACAGCTTCGGATGCTGACTCAGTGCCCGGGTCTCAGGGAGCTGGGATCTGTAAAGTATGCTAATGCCCAAAGGTCTTTCTTCCACCTGGATGCTCATTCCTAAGGCCTTGTCTATGTGAGCATCAGGAAAAAGCTATCCCTGGCAATTTACCACCTGTGCTGCTCTGTCATGAGGAGAATACAAAAAATGGGAGGAGTGACTGCCTGTATTCAGCCACAACCGCTACACATCTTCCTCTGCCTCTTGGTGGCCCCGTTTTCAGCAAGTTGTGAGTACGCCTACTCCAATCTTCTGCCATCACAGCCTGGTAGGAGAAGCTGCCTGTTCAAGGAGAACAGCCAACTTGACTGCCTACTTGACTGCCTAATCAACTGCCTGAAGCATGAGGCAGGACACGGAGACACTGCTGCAATGGATGTAGCCTTGAAGTGACATTCACATAGTCAATGGATAAATGAGTCTCTCTATCTACAAGCCTTCCCCTGCACCTCTCAAACTGTTTGATCAATACCAAAGAGGAAACACAAGTGGGACAAATCACTTCAATTATGAGGTCAATGAAAAACATTGACTTTATAACTTTATAGATATGCCTCTATTCCGTTAAACCCTGGTCACTCGCATTCACTTAGAGAGCACCATGCTCAAGCTCAGTAGCACAGGGAAATGTGCATGTCCCTGAGAGCCTTTCACATCCGGACAGGCTGGCATCCCACAGGGCAGGGCCTGGTCCATTAGATGGGATTATCAATGAAATGAGCAGTTCATTCCCAGGATCTCATTTCTTTTTCACTGATGTGAATGAAAAATATCTGGACTAGCATTCATCTATGGTTAAGGCAAGTCAAATCTGATAAAACAGGTTTCATTTTCACACAAATACATTACTTCAGAGCTGGGTTTCAGCCAAATCCTACTTTTCCACTAATTTCTACCACAAAACTGACCATTACATTTCCAGGCAAAACACCCAACTTGGAGCTGCATTCTGGAATGACCTAATGTAGTAGGAGTATTTTTATGGGTTTAAAACTCTGAAGCAGTTGTAAATGCCATTAAACTGTCTTCTGCCGTTAACCCTGTCTTCTCCCCTGGTTTCCTTTTCACAAATTGACAGAAATGTTACCACTTAGGGCTGTCAATGCACACTCGCCTTTCCCAGAATCTGGCTAAACCACGTTTCTAAATTTAGCTTTGGGTGTCAACATTCCTCAACCGTTAAGCTACAGTATGAAGTTTCATCAGCAGGTGCTTCATGTTAACACAAGGTACAGTAATCAGTCCTCAAAGCTGTGGGTGGGTTCTGTGACTTCAAGCAAAATGACATGTAAGGAAACCCATCTTACCATAGGCCAAGTGATATGAACAAGAGTTAAATTCCTGTGGCATCTCAACAAGACTATCCGCACTGAACAAAACAGTTATTCAGGACCTGCTTGAGGGTTCTGGATATACACATGCTATCATTTGTTTAACGCCTCACTGTATACTGAACATCTCAAGAAGGATACAATGTAAATACAATATAAAAACCATAAAAAAATAAAAATAAAAAAACACACATAAAACCCAGGCCCGTTACCACCAGGAGGACCAGCAGAGGCCCAGAAAGACTGCTATTTGTTTTGGGGTATTTTCCCCCTGCGGGGAAATAATTATACAAATTCATTAAAAGAAAGCAAAGAATACCCCAAAATGGGATAATTCAGTGTAGTTAACAAAAATTTCAGTTAGGTTTCTGTGATACATGACAAAGTAATCCTAACATTCAGATGGAACAACAAATGGCAAATAATTGTTACAATGATTTTGAAGAACAAGACTGGGAGATTTGCCAGGAAGGTTGTTTACCAGAATGTGGTAAAGCAAGTTAAAGACAGAAAGTAATCTGAACTAACAAGTGGCCACTAAAAGGCCTTTGACCAAATAAATATACTGGGAGGAAAGAACACAGGAAATTCTTTTTCTAGTTTATAAGAGAGAGAGAGAAAAAAAGAGAGGGAGGGAGAGAGGAAGGAAGAAAGGGGGAGAGGGAGAGGGAGAGGGAGAGGGAGAGGGAGAGGGAAGGAGGGAGGGGGAGAGAGAGAGAGAGAGAGAGAGAGAGACAGAGACACTAAGTAAAAAATGCCATGCAGAGAAATCTCCCTGAAGGAACTGCTAATCGGTGGACATTAGGGCCAGTGCTTCTTCTCATTTGGAATAAAAATCCTAAAGCCTGAAGCAAGATATAAGGCTGGACTATGAGCTTTCACCACACAGACACATGGAACTGAGCCATGCTAGCTGTCACACGGCTGGTGCATCATGAGACAGTGGCCAACAGCTGTGCTGGCAGACCCTCCAGCCAGTATCAGTTCAGAAGAAAATCAATGGGTTTCGGGTCAGATGTACTGCTTAGTGCAGGCCCCAGGAAGATGACTTTAAATGGGAAGTCAAATTTAAAAAAGGAAAATCTAGTTCTACAATAGAATTTGAACCCCAAAATAGTATGCAAGTGTTTGTGAGATGACACATGCATTTCTCTGAGAACCCTGAAAAAGGTGAGTCACAATTCCGCCCCCCGACAAAAAAAAAAGAAAAAAAAAAAGAAAGAAAAAAAAATCCCACTGAAGGTAGGTGACTGTAATGAAACAGTAACTGTGTACTGATCTGAAACTACTCACTTTCTCCCTGAGTGATAATGTGCATGAAGTAAGTGATCCACTGCCCCCACTATGATCCTGGAAATGTATACGAGATATGGCTTGGTGCTGGTGTGAGAAATCTGGTTCTAATAAAACAACAGCAGTACAATGCCAACATTTGTGTTTACTTGGGATTGCTACTAATGACTTGCAGAAACAATGAGAACATTCTGAAAAAACAGCTAGACCCAAAATATGATGTTTTAAAAACTTTTGTTTAAGTCTGTTTTTCTTTGTAACAAATCATTATGCAAAATTCTATTTCATAGCCTATACCAGTGGTCGGCAAACTGTGGCTCAAGAGCCGCATGTAGCCCTTTAGCCCCTTTAATGTGGCTCTTCCACAAAATACAACGTGCAGGTGCGCACATACAGTACGATCGAAACTTCGTGGCCCATCGCAAAAGTCAGTCTTTGGCTCTCAAAAGAAATTTCAATCGTACTGTTGAAATTTGGCTCTGTTGACTAATGAGTTTGCCAACCACTGGCCTATTCCTTCATGATGTCACACAGCACATCTCATTCTGAAATTAAATCACTGGGTAAGAAATTTTCTACAAAGCTGTTTCCATTTTGTAGTAAGGCTGCCTATTTGTACGAATGTTAAGTGACAATGATATTTGCTCCTTTTGAGGAAGAACCACACCTGGACTGACACACGGTCGGAGTGATGGTGTTTGCCACATGGGAAACAGTGCTTCTCCCACTGGAATGTGGGTTCCGGGGGGTCATGTGGGGTCACAGGAGAGATGGGGCAGTTTTCCCACAATGCCAATCTGGCATTACAGTAAGTCACTAAACATGATTTTAGCATACCAACATTTGCATTAATTTTTAAGATTTAAAAACATGAAACCAAAACCCAGCAACAAAACATGAGAGATTTTAGCCATTCTGAACTTGTGATGGGGCATTATGTATGGGAGTTTCTTAGTAGTAAAGATTAAGAAATACCACTAACATAAGGTACTGTGGGGACACAGTGAGAAGCTATTTAAAACAATTTTAAAAATAAGCAAATAAAAAAGACAATGTGGCCTGAAGGAGCAAAACACAAAATGGTAACTCTGAGCACTTCTATAACAAGTCCGATTATACTGAGGGCCTCACATAGATCAATGCATTCTGTCTGCTCAGCAACTCTGGAGTCAGGTGCTGCATTATCCCATTTTACGGATTAGAGGATGGAAGCACAGAGACTTGCCCAGATGACAGCTCCAGGCAGTGCTGCAGGGACCTGCACCTGGCTAGCTGGCCCCAGGGCCCTCTCTTCTCAATCACCACCACACTGGCTGGCGGAGGGTGGCTTCAACCACAATATCTTTCGAGTGTCTTACAAGAATCTGTCCTATCAGCAGCTATGGGCCCCGAGGCCATGTTCCCAACCTTACAGAGATTTTTATATGACTCTTTTACTTAAAGCTAATTAAAACTAATATAACATACAGTATACTTAAAAAGAAAAAGAAATCAGCATAATTTAGTAAATTCATTATCAACATTTTACTACAAAAATTCACAAATGTACTTTCATTTTCTAGAAAAATTTATACGCAGAGCACTGTGTTATGTTACATTTTAGAGGTTTAAATTTTTACTGTAATCTGTTGTTTTCAGAACTCAGTGACTCTTAGTCAAACACATAATAACTGCTATTTATATTAACACTGGATACTGATGAAGTCATACAGTCCAACTATCTTTCATTGACAGTTCTGTGAAAACGAAAACAATGGACGAGAATACCTTACAATGTGAAAAAGCAAACTGTAGGTGCACTCTTACCGAGGAACACAGCGGAACATCTGTGGGACTAGTTTCCCTTTCTCCCCGACCCTGTCGCAGACAGGTGAAGAGTGGCCAGCAGCTCACCTGGATGACCTTGTAGAAGTAGGCGTACTGCCGAGCGGTGTTCTTGAACTGGCTGAAGACATCGTGGACAGCCTGTGTGGACTGCAGAGACCGGACTTCGTCTTCCTCGAAGTAGAGAGGGGTGTCGTACTCACTGGGCAGGGTCTGAATGTAGGGCTGCCAGAAGGAGTTGGGGTCGGCGCGCTCACACAGCAGGTGAAAGGCCAGTGCGATATTTCCCATGGCTTGAAGAATTCGGTCTTGAGAATATAAGGGTCCTGGAGTAACCCAGAAGTTAATAGTGTAAGTTCCACAATTCCTTTTAAAAGTTTTCATTTATATGATGAAAGTTATGGAAACAACTAAACAATCCTATAATGCAATCCTATATTGTTTAAAGTAACTTGCATCTCTCTTTTGACATTCGTCTATTATGTCAGATTATAAGCATGGGAAACACCTAATGTGAATTTTGGGGCACAGTTCACTAATTGAGAAAACAACCAAATATCCTTAGCTCCACAAAATGAAATTTTATATATTTCTATCATTTTCACTTTGCTTTGAACATTCAGAAATTATTCTCACCCAAAATAGAGTTTTTAGCAGATTCAACGGTCATTAGTAATTTCCGTGGAACCCATAAAAATAATTCTTCTGCCTAGAAGGAAAAAAATAAGAAAACAGAATCATGAAAACACAACACACTCTAGTCTTTGTTCCAATTGTGTCTATGGGCAAAAACCCATCACACATGGACAACTTCAGGGTGCATATCAGCACCACATTTTAGTTCCCAAAACTATATCAACTGTAAGCATTTATGGTGTTATTAAATAAATGGAAGCTGCTTTAAAATCCTGTCTCCGGTAGAAAAACTATGTATACTGAGAAGGCAAATAACCACAAGAGACTTTCGACTCTAATTTGAAGCAAATGTAACAACTTGGGGTAAAGCACAAAGGTGATTGTTTATTCTATTCTTTGCTGTATTTATATTTTTAAGTGCTAAAAACAAAATTTCTACACCCAGCAAAAACCCGACTCTACCCATGTGAAGCAGGATACCTTATAATGTTTCAAGCTGGAGTAACAGTCCCTCTTCTATGTGCCTGTCTTTAAAAACTGACAGTTACTAGCAAAAACACAAGCCCACAAGACACATGTTTTGGCAATGAAATGCCTTTTTCAGCATGTTCTATATGTATATTTATACAGTACCTTGACCATGGTGATATCATGCAGATGTTTCAACTCAGCAAAACGTACATATTAAACATGTGCAATCTTTTTACATTATCAGTTTCAATAAAGCTTTTAAAAAAAAAACATGCACTAGTGACAACCAACCACAGCTAAAGTATTCAGGGCAGTATCCACACTAACGATGCTCTTCGTCTGATGCATGAGAAGCATGTGTGACATCTCGTTTACTCTTGCTGTTTACCAACGTCTCTTTATCTACTATTTGAATTATGTGTGCCTTGTCCCTTACTACAGACTATAAGCAGCGTGAAGAAAGGAACCCGTGTGTTTTGGAAGCCTGGAATAATAAGGAAGGTACGTTGGCATACTAGATTATTTAATAAACATTCAATAAACCAGTTTATCAATGTATCATTGAAAAGTTAACTACAAGCTGGCCAAAAATGTTGCTGGAAATTTGAGGTGACCTAATAACAACCATTTCCTCTCCCCAAGTTCTGAACCAAATGAGAGAGACACAAGACTCCAATAGATGGTCACCCAAAATACCACGTACTGAATCCCAGAATTAGACAGCTATTACAGGCAGAACTGGAACCCCAGAGGCCTCCCCATGTGTGGCCGGCCCCTGGAAAACTTAGGGTGGAGAGAGCACAGCAGTGAATGCACGTGGACAGCAGCTCTCACTGAGATAAAGGCCAACCCTAGTTCCTTCTCCCAAAATCATCAAAGTTTTCCTGTTGAGAGGCAAGGAGAGTCTACTCCCTCCAACTAGAAGGACCAAGAGTAAAGAAAAGCATTTGTCCTTCAGCAGGTGTATATTTCTCTTTTCCTATCAGCTGTGGCTTGCCAGTCCAGTGAGTGGTGCCTCCAACCACTGTTACCCATTCCAGAAAACTGGTAAGCATCCCCTACACTGCCCAGACCCCAACCCCGCCTCCACCTACATCCAATCAACCACAGAGCCCAGTGTGCTCGGTTAGCAGACCACCTGAATCCACATCCTTCTCTATATTTATATCTCAGAATCCCCTGAGGCATGTTCTATGGTCTCCTAACAGACGCCCAGATGTGAGCTGACTTGCCCCCGGTCACTGGATATTAGCACAGCTCCCAAGGAGGATGGGTGGCAAGGGGCTTCCTGGAACAGGGGGTCAGTTAGAGGACTGCTGTGGCAGGAGGGGCAGTGCTGGCTGCACCCTTTCACCCTCCCCCACCCACACGACTCAGAACAAGCCTAAGGTATGTCTCCACGTCCAGTGTCCTCTACACGACACAATCCAGACACACTTCGACTCCCCCCCAGACCAACAGTTTATAAACTCACCTTGATATCTCTTGTTGCTCTCAAACCAAAGCCCTCTTCTTTGAAATTAACCATTTCAAAACCCTCAACCGAAGCTCCATTTTCAGAGGCCCATTTCATTAGATTAGGAAAGTAATCTTCTCTTTTTCCATCAAAAGTAACAGACAGACCTGTATCAATCCATGTTTTACAAAACAAGAGCTACTTTTAGGACATATATCATTCATGCTACTCTCATAAAAAACAGACCGTAACTAACACAGGAAATAGTAAAGCACTTCAATCTTAAAAAAAATAAAAATAAAAAAAATAAAAAATCAAGAGCTAATCACCAGGTAGTCACAGTACATAGTGACAGGGAAGGTGAATTAAAATCCTCACCTCCCCGGGGATAACAGAGGAGTATGTACAGATCCCAGGCCATATGAATACTGACGGCTAGGTGACGGGAAAGCCCTCACCACTACTGCAGATGCATACAGCAGCTTCCCCTGTAAGTCAGTGTGCCATCCCTACTATGCATATTTGCTTTAACAAAATACCCATGAAAACAAAGCTCAGTAGTTCTCACATGCACACAAGACAATGTGTGTGCCCTGGTCCAGTGGCTCAGTTGATTGGAGCGTTGTCCTGCACATCAAAAGGTTGAAGGCTGGATTTACAATCATACCCAGTTTGTGGGGTCAGGGCATGTACAGGAAGCAATGGATCGATGTTTCCTCTCTCTCATTCTCATCTCTCTCTAAAAATCTGTAAACATATCCTCAGTTGAAAATTAAAAAGAAATAATAATAAAAAACAAATTTAAAAAAAAAAAAGAAGACATGTGTTAAGGATGAGCCCCAAACCTAAGAGCACAAAACTGGAGATCTCTGCAACAGAATTCTGTGGAGTGATTTAAAGAGGAAAAGCCATGCAAAGGAAAAACCATTATTAATTTTTTTAATGAATAAAGGGAGAGGAACAGGAACTTTATTAAACACAAGGAGCAAGGCGTGGAAATCAGCCCTGTGGTGCCATGGCCGTGTCACCGCCATGTAACTGAAGGTCAACTAGATGTGTGGTGCAGTATCACCTAGTGGTGTATTGCCAGGCTATATACACATATCCTTACTAACGGAAGAAAACTGCTTTTGTTAGGGAAAATCTAACACTTAGAGAACAAATGAGTGCCTGACTTCGGTGTCAGTTTTAGTACACAGTCTCTACACAGAAGGCACACAGGATATACAAAACTTTCCAGCCCGTGTCTGATGAGCCAGGATTAGCACAGTACACTTGGTGAAGATAAACACCTTATAAAGGGGCCTGTCACCATGTGAGGTTTGAGACCATCTAACCCAAAGGCTGCATGTTGTGGGTGTGAGGGGAACAATAAAGCTCCTGCTTCAGAGAGCAAATAAACTCTCTTCTGACTCACTTTCATGACATAAAGAAACAGGGAGTCCAGGAAGATTTTTCTCATCCTTTTAAAGGCAGGCTACTTATTATGCCTTCTCCTTCCACCTCCCCTGTGGCCCTGAATACCAATCTTAACTTTTTGTGCTTTACAGAACAAAAACAGAAGGAATATTGAATAGGCTTTTTCATCTGATACTTGGCCCCACTGGCAGCCTGGCTGAGAGTCATTCTGATGTCTCCTAAATATACCCTGTAAAACACAGCTTGGGAAACAGAGCTGCATCTCTTTTTTAATCAAAACATGATTGAGTTCATCATAAACCTTGATAAACATTAACCCATCAATATATATGTGTGTTGGCCACGCACAGCATTATAGACTGACCCCAACCCCTGCAGGAAGCAATATGGGAAAGCAGATTTAAATACGTATCTCAGAGTAAAGGTAAATGAAAGTTGTGTCATTTTAGCCCCTAGAAACAAACATTCCCACCCCTGCTCCCCTAAAACTGAATTGTTTTCCCATCCCAAAGCAGGTGATGGCATGAGAGGCTCCAGAGAGTCCCATGTTTCCGTCTAGCAGCCCCTCCCTCCACAAAGACCTAGCAGGGAGGATGAGTAAGCCAGACCGTAACTACTCTCAACACCTTTCTGACCTATGCCACGTCTCTACACAATTTTCTTAAAGTGATATCATTCCAGAAACCATACCTTTTTGCTTTTTCCGTATTTTCTCCACTAGAGACCGGATCTGCACATATTCTTCCCACTCCTTCCCTGGGCCTGGAGCAGGGCTGCTGCATTCTGCAACACAAAAGCCAGTCTCAGACATCCCCTTCCACGCAACCTGTAGTCTTCAGAAGGAGGAGGATTTGGGTTGTTGCTGTCCTTTATTTATTTTTAAAGGACAAAGATACTACAGCGTGATGATAAACCTGAGAAGCATAAATCAGGTATACTTTTCAAAGCCTGTAAACCCTCTGACACAATTTAAATGCCGCCTATTCAGCCGTGACTCTAGTACCTAAATGTCTGCACCTGGCTGGCATCTACCTCATTCTTGCTGCTGATACTTTTCCTCAGAGCACACTTGTGAACAGGAAAATCTAAAAAGCTATGCTAAGATGCAAAACATTGCTCTAAAAACTCTTCCAGATGTTAAAAGAAGGTAATACTGAAAGTTAACATTTCTTCCTAGTTAAAACTCCATAACAATGGCTCCCTAAGGGAAATTGGACATAAGGACAATTAGTCAACAAACATTTCATATCCATGTGTAAGGCGCTATATTAAGCACTCTGGGGGAGTCACAAAAAGAGACGGCATAGTCATTGCTAAAAAAGAAGCTGAGATTCTACCGCAGGACCAGAACTGAAGGACCGACACCCGAGACCCGAGCAGGCATAGCGGAGGGTGGGTGCCCTGTGCACAGACTGGGCACAGGGCACCCACCCAACCTACCAGCAGCCCCTTCGCTTTTAAACTGTATCAGTTTAAAGGGAAAGCCCTTCCCACCTCCTGCTAACCCTCTTGGCCCCCTTTGTTCTCCAAGGAAAGGAGTACACGTGGTAAATACTTAACAATAGCTATATGCTCACTCATAACTATTAGGTTTGGCCAGCCTTATACATTCTTCTATCCCCAAATACTGGCTGAAGCCCTGGATTACAAGATGAGCCTGTCCTCAAGCTGCCTCCAGGCTAGTGGGGGAGACAGGTGGTAAGCATTTAGTATAACACTGCTCTGTGGAAGGCCCACCTTGACCTTGAGTGGGAGGGGGATTTAGGTGTTCATAGGAGCGAGCAACCGACTTGGTTGCTGCCTGTTTGTCAATGAGAGAAAATTAAATTTTTATTTGGAGTTTAGCCTGTCACATAATCTATAATAAAAAGCGTAATATGCTAATTAGACCGGACAGCCGAACGACCTTCTGGACATCTGTGAGGACTAAGCCCCATCGGGTCTCTACTCTAAACACAAGGGGCAAAGAAAATAATACAAATGTAATTAGTTAATAAAGTGACCACAGCTAAATTTAAAATATACATACCACCAATTTAAATTTACAATTAAAAAACAAGTTACTAGTTTACACTTAGTAAAGCAAGATATTTAACTTCCCTGAACCAAGAATGCTTGTCGTCAGCAAGTGAAAACAATCATTGAAAAAGGGGAGCCATCCTAAGGAAGCCAGGCCAAAGGCTTGCTCTCTGAGAGACATGCTGCTCGCCCTGGGCTTGACAGCCCAAAACCCACCCTCACGTGCCCTAGCTCACATGGTCCTCATTACACTCCCAGGTGGTCTGTATTTACTGAGAGCACACTGGGAGTCAGAGGGTTAAACTGGTCTGAGGCCACACTACTGAAAACCAGTTGAGACGTTCCGGGAGCCTGTGCCATAGAGGCTTCACATTCAGTATGTCATCTAGGCTTCGTTATAGTTACACGGTCCCCACAAGTAGCAGCAGCTCCATTTTACAGGTGGGGAGGCTGCGAGGTAAGAGGTACTGTAACCTGCCCAGGTCCCATGGCTAACTTCATGCTTCAGGGACAGCTGATATTCCCACGCAGCACTGGGATGCATCAGTACAAACCACACGCCCCACAGAAAGGCGGGAAGGCCAAGAGCACAACTTACTCTGCAGCAGTTCACTCGTCAGGTTCAAGGTTTCCTTTGGTGACACACTTGCTGTAGCACCAGTGCCTGATTTTTGTGTTTTTACTCGACTCTTCTTACCCATTTTCTGACTGCAAAGAAAAGAGAAAGTATTACATATCCAAAGAACAAAATCAAGAAATAAAACACTTTAACGACGCTAAAACAAATGCATACTCAATTATTACGTAAATCCCAATTAAATATGAAAGTGGCATCTGTAATCATCAACCACTTCTGACCAATGTGATTCTTTTACATACTATCTGTGTAGCGGAAGCGGGTCAGGAAAAATAAGGTGAAGTGCATGTAGAATAAGACCTTGCCTGACGACTGCGGTGGTGAGGAGGAAGAGTACTGGATGCTTAATCCATTTTTACAAAGTATAGTTCACACATATTGCACAGAGATGGAATTCAGCTGCATGAGGTTTCTTTTTTTCAAAAATTCTAAATGGAAAGGATGTATATTTGTATTTTTCTTCAGTTGCTTTCAACTAAATGAAACTAAACATTTTTGATTACACTTATTTGGCAATTTATCTGGGAAATCTTAGCACAAACCCAGCATCTGCCTTTTTTCAATGCATCCAACTTTACAGCTGGATTGACTGAAGGAGAGAATGGCCCCCTACCTCAGGCACCCAGCTGTAAAACGTGCTCGAAGGAAGTGTGAGAGCCTGCCTAATCTTTGTGTAGGAAGAAAAGAATCTCACTAAAATACTTTGCAGGCCATTAGGATCAGATTCCTACATTGAGAATTAAAAGCACAAATTATAGGATGATGGCTTAGGAAAATGAAAGCACTCCCAGACTGAAAAGTATTTAACCGTGTGATGTTTTCTTCTCTCCTACAGGAACTGATAAAGTATATGCAGCCTTTATGTTGCATGGTACATGTTAACTAAAACTAGTGTGTGCCAGAAATGTGTCCTCACTTTGCACAGTGGCAGGGACTAGCAGTACAGTCAAGCCACACTAATTTTTACCAGTTTAAGTAGCTAACTAACACACATCATTCCAATCTCTGTCAAAGAGCGTCCGGAAGGGCCACAACTCAAAAGTACCAAGAAGTCAAGGCAAGCAGGCAGGCAAGAAGGTGGAATTAATTTCAACTCAGGAGATACTTAAATACCAAGATGAAGATAAATTACATGTGAGTGCCCTGAAGTCTTCATTCAGAACAATTCAGCTGTCATACTGATAGAAATAGATAAACATATATCCAAACGAGGTTTAAAAAAAAAAAAAAAAAGATGTTTCTTGCTTTTTTCCACTAATTTACATAATTTTAGAGATACTTAAATTTCTGATTGACTTTTTGATACATTAATAGTTTTAGTTTTAAATGGCTGTTGTATTAAGTTGTAAATACACTAAAATTAAAACGAGGTTCCTATTTAAAGGAAGTTGCAATAAAAAAAACCTTTCATAAAGCAAAGAATCATTTGATATCATGACTACTAGTAATCATCCTATCTAATAAATACTATCTAATATAAGAGTAATATGCAAATTAACCATTGCTCCACTACACAAGCCACATGCACCAGCCAATCAGGAGCAAGTATGCAAATTAACCCCAACCAAGATGGCTGCAGCCACAGAATGAGTAGGAGGGAGGCTTGGGTTTCCCTGGCGATGGAGGAAGCCAAGCTTTCCACACACCCTCGTGGGCCCAAGCCTCCACTCAAGGCTATGAAGTTTCAATTATAGAAGATAAATAAATCCCAACAAAAATGGCAGCCCCCACAGATCAAGCAGGAGACTGGGCTCCGCTCCAGGCTATAAAGTTTCAATTGTAGAAAATAAATAAATCCCAGATACCAGGACCTCCACTTGGGTCGCTGGGGGGTGTGGCAGCCTGCAAACCACCACAGGCCCCTCTCCCAGGCCACCACGCCCCAAGGGAACCCCCATCCTGATCCAGAACACCCTTCAGGGCAAACCAGCTGGCCCCCTCCCATGCACCAAGCCTCTATCCTATCTAATCCTATCTAATAAAAGAGTAATATGCAGATTGACCATCACTCCAACACACAAGATGGCAGCTGGCCCCCACCCATGCACCAAGCCTCTATCCTAGGGGTGTCGAACTCAATCAGAGAGGGGCCAAAATCTAAAATCCAGCCTAAATCGCAGGCCGAATGGTTTACTGAACAGTCATAAACTGTCATTGTGATGGAAACGCAGCGGAGTGCAGTGATGACAGCGCGGTGCGGGCCACATTGCAAGGCCTGGCGGGACGGATTTGGCCCGAGGGCCTTGTGTTTGACACATGTGCTCTATCCTATCTAATCCTATCTAATAAAAGAGTAATATGCAGATTGACCATCACTCCAACACACAAGATGGCTGCCCCCAAGTGGACACAAGATAGCCACCACAAGATGGCCAGCAGGGGAGGACAGTTGGGAGAGACCAAGACTTCAAGGGAGGGCAGATGGGAGGGACCAGGCCTGCAGGTCCCCTGCACAAATTTCGTGGACAGGACCTATAGTTTCCTGTAATATCTTTCTGACAAGAAAAAAGAAAACTTGGAAGTATAAAGGAATAGCTGTAATCTGTCAAGAAATTACCTTGAAACCACCCACATTTCTCCCATACGGATTCTACAATTAGGGAATTTCACGTTTGGAAGAGACTTTTGGACTTACCCATGCTAACCCTCAATCCTGAAAACGTTTAAAGCAACATCTAATGTGATGTAGCAGCTAGCGCTGTCAAAGTGCTTTGCTAACTCCTGTCCAATTCCAGTCTGAAAGCCCTGAGAGGCACAGCCTGTCACCCCTAACAAGTACACCATCTCAGGTTCAAGTGGCAGAGGCAGGCAGGGATCCAGTGTTCTGAGGGATACCTACTGCTCCTCACTTCCAGGTAGTCTCCAACTGGGAGTCCTGTCCTACACTGTTGGAAAATTCACTGTCCCCTTTGCCTGTCTCAATTCTGCCTTAAAAGAGAAGCCACCCTTTAAATTTGTGAAGACAGCTTTCTGTGACCTCCAGAGCTTTCTTGTCTCCAGACTTAGCATGCCCTCAAGACATACTTCTCAAAGTGGACAAACCACTTAAAAAACACTGTTCACTGAAGTATATATCTAAGTCAACAAAACCGTTCAGATGTGCTCTGAGAGGGACACAGTGCAGTGGGACTACTGCCTTCCTGAAGCCAATTCAAGGAAATGTTACTACAGATCTGCAGCTGTAGGTATATTACTGTAGGTATATTACTGCACTAAGCTTTCCCACAAGCCAAGATAACAAGTGAAGTCATTCCTTCATTCAGCGCACATTTCTTGAGTACTACCTAATTTGAAATGCAAAGGTGAGTGAGAGGTGGTCTTTGGGATAAAAATGTCAGTCAACTAAAATCTTGTGTTACATATACTGATCTTCGGCAAGATAGATGTGCTATATTAACTGAGTTTTTGAACCTAAAGCAAAACTTTCATGCTACCTGTTTTTAGGCTATTGGAGCTATGTCATCCCTGCCACAGAGTCCTACTGCAGGTCCCCAGCATGACTGCCTTGATCAAAACTGTGTCATTTGGGCGTTTACTATATTAGGAGCTGAGGTAAGCATTTTATACAATAGATAAGTATAAGTTCTCCCATAAGAATAGATACTATGCTCACTTTACAGATGAGTAAGGTGAAATTTAGAGAAGTTAATTAACAGCCTCATAGCACACCTTGAAGGCAAGCTTTACTGAGATTTCATGGATTCAGCTCAAAACCAATCCACTTATAAGGGTCTAAAAGTTTGTTGTCATTTCTGAAATTAAAAATAACAGTATCCCCTTAGAGTGAAAGTTTTTCTCTCTTCAACCTTCAAAAGCATGGAGCCACAGTGGTAGAGTGTCAGTCTGCGGACTGAAAGGACCCGGGTTCCGATTCCGGTCAAGGACATGTATATGTATGTTGGCTGCGTCGATGTTTCTCTCTCATCAACATTTCTGGCTCTCTATCTCTCTCTCTTCCTCTCTAAAAAAAATCAAAAAATAAAAGCATGGAGCCATTTTGCTGGCTTGCTCAAATACACAGGCGTGGCCTCAACTCAAATGTGGAGTGGGAGCAAAATTTCTAGTGAGCTTCCACCAAGTTCCACAGAGCGCATGCCTCACTCTTGTCGCGGTCAGAAACAATGCAGAAACCCCCTCAGGAACCATGACGTGTAATGATTCTAAAGCATTATACTCAACAAGTGAGAGCTTTATTAGTCATTAGTAAACATGTTATGGTAAAAGTGACATTAATGAGTCTTTTTCAACACTAATCCTTACCTTTCTCTTAACAGAAAACTATTGGTGCTGAAGTCATGCCTTTTTACTGAGATTGAGACCTTAAAATCACGTGGACATAGAATTGTTTAGACTTTGTCATGCTCTAACAAATTGTATCCTGAAAGTGGAGAGTGAAACGCAGGATGGGGGATAGATAGGTAATAAGCCTAAAATACTGCCCAAGAGCTCCATGCAGATACCGGATTATCTACATTATCTAATTCTTCAAAAACAAAGCTTTTTTTCCAGCTCAGCCCCTCTGCACCCCCATCACTGAGCCTGGGCATGTGAAATGGTTTTTTTGCTTGGCAAACAGTATCCCTCAGCTCTCTTCCAAATTTTTTATTTCAGTGTCGTACTTGTCTCCCACTGTCAGCCAGTTCTTTCTAGAAAAAGAATTCCAGTCTTAACTTTGATACTGAATTTTTTATTATTTTGAATCATTTTTCTCCCATTCAAACTTATTTCAGTTGAAATTATTAATACCTTACCTTGCCTCTTGTTTTACGATACGTTTATTTCCAAAACCTGGAGGAAACTCCCACCTGGAAATCTGTCTACCCAGCTAATCTCGGTTTGAGTTATGGGTGAATTTAACAACAAAGAGCAGGACTTCTAATCTTGCCAAATGTGCTCATTAAGCTTTTTTCTTTAAGCCTACGGAGTAATTTTTTATTTTTAAAAAAAATTTTTTTTAAAGCTTCAACTCTGGGGAGGAGGCGGGAGGATGCTACACGCTAAGCTGATAAGCTGACAAGCTCAGGGAAGGCCTGCATGGCAGTTTTGCAAACTTAAAAAAAACATAAAGAACCCACAAAAGCAGTTATGGTGGGTAGTCATGTCCTAGGCTGGTATTTTCCTGACAAGGTCTATTTTAACCTGAACTGAGCCTATTGTCTTTTTGCATCTAAGATAACATACCAATGAAATGTAACTTCCCTTTTTCCTGGTTCCCTGGGGTAAGACCTAAGGCCCTGGGCGCCAGGACCAGAGTCCATAAATTCCTTCATTGTTAATGTTATCACGTTAATTGGAGACTGTTAACCATCCCGCACCCACCTAAGTAAGTGTCTATCATTTCACTTTGTATCTTATCCCAGAGGTTTCCCGGATTTTCCTTCTCCGGCCTCACTAATCTATCGCCGGTGGATTTCGTGTAACCCATCTACATCTCCTCCTTTAATTGCAATGTATAATAATAGATTAAAACAGGCGTCTTCAAACTACGGCCCGAGGGCCACATGCGGCCCACAGAGGAGTCTGATCCGGCCCGCCAGGTTTTTTGGGCAGTGAGCGCAGCCGAGGTGTTACAGTAGGAATTAGTAGTTCATATAGTCCGGCCCTCCAGCTCTCTGAGGGACCATGATCTGGCCCCCACTTTAAAAAGTTTGAGGACGCCTGGATTAAAAAAAACACCATTCTCTGAAGCATCATCCCAATCCAGTGAGATATTCCCAGCAACTGTTGACATTTTGGCTCAAATAAACTCACAAAAATTCTTTGCAGGTTTGAATGTTTTTACATTAACAACTCCTTTGTAATAGAAAAATGTGTTAATATTTTGTTAGTATTTTTACTTTGAGAATAAACATGTGAGTTAACTATATTGGCAGATCAAAATATTTAACATCTCCAATTTTATAATTAGGAAAATGAGATAAAGGGAAATTTAACGTACAGAGGTCAGTTTTGCCAAATAAGATACACCTGTAAATGCAACAAAAAGTGAAAACTAGGAAAATTCAAAAGCAAGGAATCCTTAGTCTTTCTGGTGCTCTTAACTGCTAAATACGACTCTGGATGAATGGATACCCAAGATAGACACTTCTAGGAGAGTAGCAAGAGAGAAAAAGATGCACAGCTAATCGAAATATTGGCCCTAACAGAATGGTAGCTAATTGGGAAAGCAAATAACTGGCTACAGCAACTTCTCCAATAACCTAAGAATACAGACATATTCACTAGGGTGTTAATAATGTTTACTGCCACTGTAATAAATGGTGGCTATTCCTCTGTGGGGGAACTAAGCCTAGGCCCTGTTCCCAGGATGTAGGAACAAGGAGAGAAACTCGCTGAAACTCTTCCTCCCCACTCCCAACAGAAGCACCAGGCACAGCAGCCAAGGACAGACAAACCAGTTTCTAAAGATAAAAGTCCTCCCAGTGAAAGATAGTTATCAAACTACACGCAAAAAAGGGACACTATTATTAGCTACATTTCTAAATGCTACTTCAGATTAGTGATAAGAAAAAGACTGTAATTCAAACATTTTAAAGGAGTTGAAATAATTCAAACTAAATTGATATCTAGTAAAAAAGAAAAAGTAACCCTAAACTAGGAGATAAAATTTTTTACTCATACTTTCAGGAAATTCCACACACAGCACCAGCACAGGGCTGGGCTTTCACTGACTTCCATAATTGCGAGCAACCCTCTGTTGTGCAAATGTTGATACCTTCCCAGCTGTCATCTCCTTTGTCATTCTCTTCTAGACATTAAGGAGGCCATTCTCAAAACAAAAACCTTAAAGCTGATCTTTAGAATGAAAAAGTATCTGCATACAACCTTGGGTTTTCTCATTTCCCAGTGGCCTCTACAGTGAAGTTTTAATTATTATTTAAAATGTGGCCTGATTGTTCACCACAGGAAGAACAGCTCCACAAGTGTTCCTTTCTTGGTGACAATCTAATAGTACTGCTGAGCGGAATGGGCAGAGCAGAACAGAAACTTTCACTTCTACAGCACATGCAGTCATCAATGTTCCCATCCTTTATCCAACATCATTCCTATGCCAGGAGAAAAGCTGAGAGGAGTTAGTACAGAAGGGATGAGAAGCAGTAACCGTTTCACTCCTTCAGGCTCAAGTTCCATTTCAGAGAGTAGCTTGGCGGTCATGAATACAGAGAAAGCGAGGCCCCCAGGGAGGGGGAGCAGGAGGCTAAAACCGGAGGATGTTTGGGGTCTCAATAAAGAGACTGTTCCGTCGCTGTTGGAGAACTCAGCTTTGCAAACAACTTTCTTGGGAAAGAGAGAAAACTCCTCCTTCACTTGCTGGAACTTGACCACGATCTCAATCACGGCAGCCCCTGAGACTAACCTGGTGAGGCGAGGCTGCACGCGTGGTAGCCCACAAGGACAGACAAGATACATCACGGCTCGGGCAACTCTCACAAAAGACTAACCGCGGAGAGGACAGCTGCTTTTATTCCCAAGTTCAATGTATTCACATAAAATTGCAAGAAAAACCTCTCCAAGATGATTACTGGTTAGCTGGGTTCTGAAATAACAGTGGGCTCACTTTTGAGAAGAAAAATAATGGGGGGGAGGGGGGGAGATGTTGACATAGGATAACGCTCACACGTTTCAGTGCCCGCTTCTGAGTTACCGCCAATGCGTAGAACCCCCACCACCACCACCACCGGGCAGGCCCGCCGCTAAAAGGCGTTCTTAAAAGCAAAATCACCCTGTCAGCATACTTTTAAGAGTGGCTTTGCCTTAGAAACATCACCGCCTTCACTTGGAAAAGCAAAACCATACCCTTCCAAGGGATCCTAAACCTGTCAACGCATGGCGGGGTGCGGCCCCCGCAGCAAGGGGCGCCCGACACGGCGCGACTGGGTCTCCTTTTGCCCCGAGTGGAGACGGGAGAGGCGGGGAGCTGCATCGCCAGGCTGGAGCCACGAGGAGGTAGAGTTCATGCCGGAATGACAAACTCCAAAGCCCCGAATTCTTCTCCCTAGTAGGGCACGAAGCGTGTGGAAGACGGCCAGGGCGCGTGGGAAGGAGGATGACCTATTTTCCACAACTGTGTTTATAACTGGAAAGTGAGGGAGGGAAGCGGGGCTGGGTCCCCGGGCAGCGGCGGGCCGCCGAGGTCCGGAGAGAGAGGAACCTCCGCGCCGCACCGCCTTCCCCCGAGCCCCCGGGTGACGACGGGGAGGAAGGAAGCGAGAGCGAGCGCCGGCCGCACGCACAGCCCGGCCGCCCCGGGCGCGCGAGGGCGAGGGGCCCGGGCCCCGCCCGGGGGGCGAGGGGCGGCCGGGCGCTCCTCCTGCACCTGCCGCCACCTCGGGGGCCGGCAGAGCGGGGCCGGAGCGTTAGGCGCCGGGAAAGGGCGCAGAGCGGCCGCGAGCGCGCCCAGGCCCCGTCAGGGCCGGAGGGCAAAGGCCAAAGGGCGCCCTCCGACCCCGCCGGCACCCCGCGTCCGTCCACCCCTCCGGGACCGAGGGCGCACACCGACCCTCCCTTCACCCCGGGGCCCAGAGCCGCGAGCGGGGCGCGGGCCGGACCTCGGCCGAGGGACGCCGGCCCGGGTGGGAGGCAGCCTCGCAGCACTCGGGAGCGACCGCGGGGAGTCTGCCCCGCGGCGGGCCGTGCACGCGGAGGGGGACGCCGCCGCCGGCACTCACCTGCCCGCTTGCCCCTTCACGCAGCGGCGCCGGGGCCACACTCCGGCCCAAACCCACGGTCCACCTCAACCGGGTCCCAGGCAGCGGCGGCGACACAGGCGGCGGCAGCGGCAGCCGGACGGGAGGGCGGGACGGCAGCTTGAGACAGCCCCGCCGCCGCGGCCCACCCCGGTTCCGCCCGCCCTCAGGCCCCGCCCCCCGGCCGCCGCCGCCGCCGCCTATTGGCCCAAAGCTGAACGCATGGGCGCAGTTCCGCCCCTTCGCTCCCCTACCGTTTAGCTCGGGCTCCTCCCCAGCCATTGGGCCTGCCGGCTCTCGGAGCCTGAACCGTCGGCACCGCCCCCTCAGCTCCGAGGCCACAATTGGCGGAACTGTGCCACGCCCGGGCGCTGATTGGAACACTGGCTCTTCAGGCCCCGCCTCTCGCGTCCAAATTCCGTTAGCATGTTCGGTTGCTTCGGAACTTCCTTAGTCCCCGGAGCAGTACCAACGGGAGTGGCCCTCTGACAGGCTCCTCCTCCTGCGGGGCGGGGCCCGAACATGACTGGCTGGCCTTTCCTCCGTTGAGAGCTCTGCTTTCTTCTGATTGGTTGACAGGTGCCTCCGTGCTTTCCGGCGCCGACGCAGCGCAATGACGTATCCCCCGAGATCCCACGTCCAAGATGGCCGCGGTCGGCAAGGAGAGACGTCGCTGAGGGGCTTACCTGAGGCGAGGGGTGAGTGACCGACAGACCGCGGGCAGCCCCACCCACCTCCTGCGTACCTAAAGGTCTGAGTAGGGTAGGACCAGCTGCTTCCATCCCCTAGTGGAGTCTATCTCCCCGGATACCGCCTCCCTCCGCTGCCCCTGTCAGCTCGAAGTTAGCGGGCGATGGCGGGGCTGCGGGACGGGATTCGGGGGAGGGTTTGGAGGCGCAGGAGCGGAGGAGAAAGGCCCTCTCGCACCCTAGCACTGGTGGCGGGCCTCGCCCCGAGGGGCGACGAAGGTTTGGGGACTTTGTAGCTGGTGGGGAGGAGGGGCGGGGTCTGAGCGCGCGCCCGCGCGCTCTCAGCCGCGCAGCCTCCTCCGGGGTCTCCGTCCCAACTTCGGTTCGGCGGCGTCACACCTGGGTGCTCCGACTCCGGGGTCTGAAGAGGAAGGAGCTCGAGGCACTTCCGCGACTGGATTCGTTCTCGCCGAGACGTGCTTCCTGCGGACCCTCTCCCGGGTCGGGGTGGTCGGTTCCTGGAGGAATTGAACTTCTGGAAGTTGGCGGCGTTCCCGCAGAGGTTCTCTAACTATTACCACCGGCGCAGGACGCGGTCGGCTGCGCTTCCTTAAATTAAACGGAACTTTATTCGCTCACACCATCCGAGGTTAGGCACGGCTTCCGAAAGCAGTTGCCTGCGGGTGGCAGTTTTTTTTTTTTAATGATTTTGAACGGTGACCTATATGTGTGTGTGTGTGTGTGTGTGTGTGTGTGTGTGTGTGTGTGTGTATAATTGATTTTTTTACAGAGAGGAAGGGAGAGGGATAGAGAGTCAGAAACATCGATGAGAGAGAAACATCGATCAGCTGCCTCCTGCACACCCGCTACTGGGGATGTGCCCGCAACCAAGGTACATGCCCCCGACCGGAATCCAACCTGGGACCCTTCAGTCCGCAGGCTGACGCTCCATCCACTGAGCCACACCGGTTTCGGCTGCGGGTGGCCTTTTTATTTTGTGAAGGTGAGCCTGCTCATGTCCGCGGAGCTCGCTCCAAAGCGCTCTGGAGAGAGGGGTCTGGCACGGGGCCTGGCAGTGGCCTGTGCTCATTCAAGGTTTGTGCGAATGGGAGGGAATGAAAGATCCACCCCCAGGGGGTTGGGATCCTGTCCTAGAACACTGCGTGACGGATATAGAGTTAGCTCTCTGTTGCAGAATGAGGAATGGATGGGTGATAGACATGTTGGCTAAGATTGGATTATTAGGATGCTTGCCTATTAAATAATTTTGACTGTAAATTAATTATCCAGGACTTGGTGTGTGTGTGTGTGTGTGTGTGTGTGTGTGTGTGTGTTTTCCAGAATGACAACCTCAGGTATCTAATTTTAGGGTTTTATTTTCTTTTGTCTCATTTTGACTATATATATTTTTCAAACATATTATCTGATTTGTGCATGAGCATGTTTAATATTTGTTTCATTTTGGAAATGTAGATTGCATCAACAAGGAGTAACGAAATATTCTAATTGTTGAGATGCTTGCATTTTATATTTTAAATATTTTTTTTATTTATTTCAGAGAGGAAGGGAGAGGGAGAGAGAGAGATAGAAACATCAATGATGAGAGAGAACTATCCAATGTCTGCCTCCTGGACTCATGGTCCTCCCTCCCCCCTTCCAGGATTGAGCTTGCAACCCAGGCATATGTCCCTGACTAGAATCGAACCCAAGATCTTTCAATCCACAGGCCAATGCTCCATCCACCCAGCCAAACCAGCTAGGGCGAGACGCTTACATTTTTTAATGCCACTTTTAAAAATTGAATATCATAAAGAAAAAAATGGTCATAGTTTTGGCCTACGAAATGAGGTACAGTCATGCGCCGTATAGTGACATTTTGTTTAAAGATGGAACACATATACAAAGGTGGTCCCATAAGATGGTAAAATTCCCATTGCTAGTGACCTGTAGCTGTCATAATGTCATAGTGCAAATTACGTGTTTGTGGGGATGCTGGTGTAAACAAATCTGAACTGAAAGTCATATAAAAGTGTTGCACGTACAATTATGTACAGTACATAACACTTGATAATAAACGACTGTTGCTGGTTTATGTATTTACTGTTGTGAAAGCTAAAAGAATGAATGCTTTTCCTTCCACCTTCTAAGTTCTTATAGCTGGGCCAGAAATTAAATGAACAGAGACAAATTAACAGGAGAAAGTAAAAAGTTTAATACATGCATGTAGAGAATTCACTCACATAGGCATGAAAATTTCAAAGATGGGGAGGCACCATTGGAGAAAATGTGGGGACAGGGTATTGTATTTCAGAAGTGAGAATGGCAGTTTACAGGTAATTGAGGATTACAGGTAGTTGAGGAAGAGCAGAAGATGCATGGCAGGCAGGAAAATTCTTGCTGAGTGACTCAGAAACAGTGGGACACAGGGTACCTAGCTAACAGACCCCTACCCGAAGTGCTCTTACTAGAACACAGTGTACATGTTCTGTACCCAAAGCTACACTAGAACACAGTGTACATGTTCTATACCCAAAGCTACACTGTGTTCTAGTAAGAAGCCTGCTCAGATTGGCCAGAGTCAGAGAGGCGGTCTATTAAAAAAAGAACTGATGTTGCCTCGGAAGTGGGGGGTAGTCTTATACAGCGAATATAGGCCTAAACCTATGTTTTGACTATAAAATTAGGGGGTCGTCTTATACACCCGGTCGTCTTATACGCGGGAAATGCGGTAATAATCTTGTCATGGTACAAAAAGAGTTTGTGAATACTTGGAAGCTCAGACCAGTAGAGCTCAGGGCACTGAACATAATCTCCTATCCTAGTCAACACAGATAAATGTGCTAGTACACTGGATGAGGTCTAATTAGATGGATTTTTATCCATTCAAGTTATCAAACCTAGAATATTGGTTAATGAGGATATGTAAGCCTAAATGAAGAAAGGTCCATAGAGATAGACTACAGATTTCTGGGCTTGCTCTTTTTCTGATTAGCACTTTTTTATTACCAAATTTAAATATATGAGGCATGCTTCTCCAATTAATAAATGCACTCAAAACCTGTAGTTAGCATGTTAAATGACGCAACAAGTTTTTAAAGGCTAGATTATAGGGGTGTTGAACTCAATCAGAGAAGGGCCAAAATCTAAAATCCAGCCTAAATCGCGGGCCAAATGGTTTACTGAACAGTCATAAACTGTCATTGTGATGGAAACGCAGCGGAGTGCAGTGATGACAGTGCGGTGTGGGCCACATTGCAAGGCCTGGCGGGACGGATTTGGCCCGAGGGCCTTGTGTTTGACACATGTGGGCTAGAAGAATAGGCCTGAACTAACAAGATATAGATTTACCAGGAATGATTAAATGTACAGAACCCCAGTTGTCCATGTTGGAGATGAAGAAGGCTAGCTACCTTGACAAAAATGGTTCTAGGCCATAATGTTATGTTTATGGAGGAACTTAGTGTCCATTTGAGGAAAGGCAGTATCTTAACCTATTGACAAACTGTGGCTCTGCCATTTACAAGTGGTGTGTGTGGATTGGGCAAGTAGCTTCACGTCTCATTAGCTCAATTTTCTCAGTGATAAATTGTGAGGATATGATGCAACTCAGTGTGCACTCATTGGACATGTTAAATATCAGTAACCTCTCATCCCATCTGTACTACTCCAGTCAGAAAGGAGTTTGTTTTCATTTTGGATGCTAGTATTTAGGGGGAAATCTTGAAACACTAAAAATTACGTGGAGGTAATGAGATGTGTGCCCTGAAGAAGAGAGGGAATGTAAAAGCGATCTTCATATATTTAAAAGGCAGTCGGTAAATAGAGGAAGTTATTTTCAAGGATCTAAGTGGGAGCTGTAGAGAGTTGTTGAAAGGTAGATTTAATTCACTGCTTATTCTGTGGCATCTATGTACCAGATATAGGGGGTGAACAGAACAGATCTCAAAATTAATATAAAATTAATACAAGAATGAATGTTTGCCTGGCTGGTGTGGTTCAGTGGTTGAGCTTTGACATACTATTGTAGTATGAACCAGGAAGTCAGAGCACATGCCCAAATTGTGGGCCCGATCCCCAGTAGGGGGTGTGCAAAAGGCAGCCAGTCAAGTATTTTCTCTCATCATTGATGTTTCTATCTCTCCCTCCCCCTTCCTCTCTGAAATCAATAAAATATATATTTTTTTAAAGAATTAATGTGAATACCAGTTATTGATACTCCGCAAATGCTATAGGCTGCCTGGTAAACTGTTACTGTTCCATTAATGAAAGTGGCCAAATGAAGGTTAGTGAGTGACCAAATACTACTATTTAGAGGGAATTTCTGTACTGTGAAAAAATCAAGTATTGACCTTGACTATTGTTTCCAACTTGTAAGTATCCATAATTCTGAATGTTTAAAAATGAATTTAACCTGTCATCATGTAAGATGAAATATCAAAGGCACATTCTTGAA